TTGTGTGATATTACCATTTTGTCTGATAATATCATCTTATGTGATAATACCATCTTGGATGATAATACTATCTTGCATGATAAGATGGTATTATCAAACAAGATGGTATTATCATTCAAGATGGTATTATCACACAAGATGATATTATCAGACAAAATTTTATTATCACACAAGATGATATTATCAAACAAAATGGTATTATCACACAAGATGGTATTATCACACAAGATGGTATTATCACTCAAGATGAAATTATTACACAAGATGATATTAGACAAAATGGTATTATCACACAAGATGATATTATCAGACAAAATGGTATAATCATTCAAGATGATATTATCAGACAAAATGGTATTATCACACAAGGGTCAGTGTGGATCAACAATGTACCTGCCAACCAGGGTCAGTGTGGATCAACAATGTATCTGCCAACCAGGGTCAGTGTAGATCAACAATGTACTGGTCAACCAGGGTCAGTGCTATTTGTTCAGTTCCTGATCTCATGTATGCAATATTGCTTTGCAGTTTGGATCTCTTTAGCATGGTTAACTTTGGTTCTCTTTAGCATGGTTAAGTTTGGTTTATGTCAGGAGGAGATGAACACATTTCAGCAATGTTAGGTATAGCATATCTTGTGACTGTAAGGCCTTTTTTCAGAACATGGTGTCCTATATATGGCAGCCGGTATAATTGATGGAGAAAGAACCTGAGAAAAATCCTAGTAAGAACCACCAACTGATGGAAAACCCACATTTGCTGAGCCTGAGACTCAAATCCACTGACAGGGGTGATATGGCATTAATGGGTAAAGTGAGTGCTGTAAACCACACAGCCACTTAGGGGTCCAAATGTAGCATTTGTTAGGAACAGTAGGGTGCACTTCATCATGGCTAAGTAGGGTATATGTCAGTAATGCATGCACTTCATCATGGTTAAGAATGGCATATATCAGTAATACATGCACTTCACCATGGTTAAGTATGGAATATGTCAGTAATGCATGCACTTCACCATGGTTAAGAATGGCATATGTCAGTAATGCATGCAATTCACCATGGTTAAGTATGGCATATGTCAGTAATGCATGCACTTCACCATGGTTAAGAATGACATATATCAGTAATGCATGCACTTCACCATGGTTAAGTATGGCATATGTCAGTAATGCATGTATTTTACCATGGTTAAGTATGGCATATGTCAGTTGGGTGCACTTCAGCATGGTTAAGTATGGTATGCCAGTTGGGTGCACTTCACCATGGTTAAGTATGGCATATTTCAGTAATGCATGCACTTCAGCATGGTTAAGTATGGCATATGTCAGTTGGATTCACTTCAGCATGGTTAATTATGGTATATGTCAGTTGAGTGTGCACTTATTAGGGTTAAGTATGGCATATATCAGTTGGATGCACTTCAGCATGGTTAAGTATCATATCATCAGTCCCATAGTTTGGTAGACCATTGCATATCAGACCAGACAACCAACTTCCTCCATTCCTCTCTATTTCCCCTCATTCTCAGTGAGTCGCTCAGTGTCAAGTCAGTCCACTCTCAAATGTTGTCTAACCACCACTTTCTCTGCCAGACCCTCTTTCTTCTTCCTTGTACATTGCCTTACAGGATTGTCTTGGCAAGTCCTGATGATTATGAGACATGTCCATACCACTGCAGTTTATATTTTTTCACTTTGGTCAGGAGGTCTTTGTGAGGCCCAATGGCTTGTCTGATCATATACTGTATTTCTTTATTAGTGACACAGTCTTTGTATGAGATGCCAAGGAGCTTTGGAATAATCTCATCTATGTGACCTGTATCATTTTCTCTAAGCTGGCTGTTATGGTCCATGATTAACAGACATAGAGCAATATGGAGATCAGCAGTGAGTGCATCAGTCTGACCTTTGAACTGAGTGCGCTGTTCTTGTCATCCAGACAGGCTTCAGTTTTGTATGGAATATGTCAGTAATGCATGAGTACAATATTACATGAGATTAAGTGAATCTCACTTTCATTGTTACATTAAATAAGATTGCATGAATCTTGCTTTCATTGTTACATTACATGAGATTGCATGAATCTTGCTTTCATTGTTACATAACATGAGATCATGTGAATCTTGCTTTCATAACATGCATTATTTATTTGAAACTTAATGTATTGTGTACCTGAGATTATGAGAATCTCGCTTACATTGTGTGATATTACTAGAAACATTTTTACAGACCATGAGGTTATTTTAACCTCACCTTTACATGCTAGAGGTATAAGAATCATAATTTTGTATTTGTTTTCCTCTTTTTCATTTTGTGAATGTGTGTAGAGTGATTGGATCATTCATATGATAGTAGTGGGAGAGAGACAGTGCATTTTTACTATATATAAATATATACTATATATAAATATATAAGTTCTGTTGCAATCATCACCAGATCATGGTCACTTAGGAAAAGCTTCGAGTCTTGGCATGTTTACACTTGACTGTATGCACCTCTTTGCCATGATGTAGTCAATCTGATTATGATAGTCTCCGCTTGGACTGTGCCATGTCCATCTTCTGGATACTTCGTGTTGGCTCAGCATAAGGTCATTGTTACTAGGGAAATTTAAGAGCCTCTGGCCTCTTCGTTCGTCTGTGCATTCCAGCAGCGCCCACATATTCCTTTCCAGTTCATGCAAATGTCCTCGTCTATCTTAGTATTCTAGTCACCGTGCACAACCAGAATGTCTTTCTTCAGTGTTTTATCCACAACTTCCACATCTGCATCATCATAATCTGATGTTAGGGCATATGCCTGTATGATGGTAATGTTGAATGGAGTTGCCCTGAGACAGATGGTGATGAGCCGGCTGGAGACTGGCCAACATTCCATGACAGTACTCATACTGTCCTTGTAGACAAGGAGCCCAACTCCCTGCTAATGTTTGTCCTCTCAGCCACTGAACTAGTTTGTAGCCTTCCAAAGTAGTTGTTCCTCCAATATTCTTCCATTGTATCTCACAGAGTCCTAGAATGTCCCAGCGGTATCTGTTCATTTCATATGTAAACTCCTCAAGCCTTCCTGCTGCTCTCATTATGTTCTTAAATTCAAGGTGCCAATGGTAATGTTGTTCGTGACATAAATCTTGCTGCTCTGAGCAACAGTTGCATACTTTCCACCTCCCCCCTGGTGCATGTCAGAAGACGAAGCCTTTGTTGACCCAGGTGATGTGCATGTCAGAAGACGAAGCCTTTGTTGACCCAGGTGATGACCAATCCAGCATGAGATGAGCAATAGTTGTCATTTTTCATGTGGTGTGTCTAAGGCAGCTGATGCCTGGTGAAGCCCAACCCTCTCCAGGCCTGACCACAGCTGATTTCTTCCAAATAGTTTTTATTGCTGATTATATCCAGATTTTGTACAGTATATGGATTTTTTTATTTATCATCAGTAAGATTATTCCAAACATCCAAACATAGTACAAGTTTTTGGTATCAGGACATCTCCCCCCTGGACATCACCCCCAGACTCCCCCTACCCCGACATTTTCCCCCTGGACTCCCCCCATTAGATAGGACTTTCCCCCCAGTCATCCTCCCCAAATTTTTATACAACTTTATTTATATATAGTAACATTTAGCTTTAATGTTTACTTGCATCCCGCATCACCATTAGTACATAGGTGTGACTGTTGTCACCTGAAATAAATGCATTATCAAATGTAAAATCACACACACACACACACACACACACACACACACACACACACACACACACAGATTTTAAGGGTAGCTTGACATTACATTTGAACTGTGTACATAAATTCACACCTATTTTTAAGCATTGTTAGTTATAACAAAATGGGCATTGTCTCTTTGTAAATCAATTGCTAGTGTTTTTACTGAATGAAGAACAGGTTCTTTGAGGTATGTTGAAGATTCTTGAGTCAAACCTTTATTTATTGTGCATATTTGGTATATTTAAGATAAAAGATGGATTAGCCATCATTCAATTAATTGTAGTTGTTTCAGTACAGTACTCAGGCCAGACGTCAACATAAGCTGATTATGATTTAACAATCAAAGAAAAATTAAAAGACTGTTCTTTTGAGAATTGCAAACATAGTCCCGACTTCAACAATCATGACATCATAGAATACTTAAAAGCAATTGCTTACAACATTAACATTTAAACAATACATTTTTAATAGGTGAAAATGTTAACTTTGTTTAACACTACTGAGATTTATTTCAAATAACCATTTTCTTTTAACATAACTTAATATAAGTTTTTATATTTTATTGGCAAAATGTGATATTAAATGAATTAAATTTTAAGATCATTGGGGGAAAATGACTGGGGTGGGGAAAGTCCTACATGATGGGGTGAAAAGTCTAGGGGGGATATGTCGATTGGGGGGAGTTGGGGGATGATGTCTTAGACTCTGCAACTTGTCTCACATTCTTTAATGAATCAGCATGAAACTTGTAGCTAAATACATTGTTTGAAAAAACAACTGATGTATGCAACTTGTCTCGGCTTGAAACTTTGTAAATATTATGGTCCTCATCTGAAGACAGGTTACTCTGCTTACACCCTTTGAATGAGTGCCTATTTTTGGCTTAAACAGGTGCAGGATCTTGTGAATGCAGTTAGTCTCACATTGGTCATTTTATGAATGCAGTTAGTCTCACATTGGTCATGTTCCATTCTATCATTTCATAATTTGAACAGGGTTTGATTTTATAGAAAGAAACTTCTCAGGTTTCCTCACCAGTTATCCTGATTATTTTAGAAAGGTATAGTATATCTTAGATATTGTTAAAATACCCTATCTTTATGTGTATGATTGATGGGCATGAAATGTACATCTAGGTTGATAGCTCTGCTTGGTCATTTCCTCTTCCTGGACTTCAGAGGTAAATTGGAAACAAAAACTGATGACATTTTTATTTCTTCATTTTATTTTATAATTCATTTATTGCACTTTTAGCTCTGGCAAAATTTGACTGCTCCAGTGGCATAGTGGTTAGAGTGTTTTCTTTGGATGCAGGAGGTTGTGGGTTCAAACCCCAGTCAAGTCATACCAAAGACATAAAAGTAGTACTAACAGCTGCCTTGCTTGGGGCTTAGCATTAAGAGGTTAGTGTTAGGAATGGTCGGCTCGGTGTCAGGAAAATGTAACTCAGTATAAGACATGGTGCTACATATCTGCTGCATGATGCTCCAGTGCTAGACATCACTATAAACTGCCACATGGCAGACATCACAGCAATATGTCTGAACAATTGTTAAAGTTACATTAAGAATTCAAATCTCTCTCACACACACACACACACACACACACACACACACACACACACACTGGCAAAATTTATTTTCCCTGTAATAATAACTGCTAAACTTAATGTACTTTGGACTAAATCATTTCTCAAGCACATAATATCTGTCATTTCAATCAGCTGTTTACTTTGGGGCATGTATTTTCCAAATATCAACCTGATTTCAGTCACACTAGATGCAAGTAGTCCTAACAGTCTTTCCATTGTGCTTATTTCAGATGTACAATACCCATCTTACTTGCAAAAGCCTTGCTAACAGTTGAGCAGAATAAAACAGGATTTATTACTATATGATTTAATTTTTGGTTGCCTAGCTGAAACATTTAAGTTGCCAGTTTCCAATCAGTCAGTCCTTTTTAATCATTATCACATATTTTTTTATTAATAACAGTATTCATCAGACACTGATCCCCAACCCCTCTATCCGTGATGTGAAAAATGACCTATTTCAAGAATGCACATTGCATTTTCTGAGCATATCATCCAGTGTTATGCTGAAAGACAGGAAATTTTGGATATTTATTCATGTGATATCATTGCTAAACTCTTCAGTTTGGATAAGGATGGAAAAGGTCAGGTTCACATAGGTCAAAGGTTGAAGTGTACAAAGCTTTCAGATACATCTATTGTCAGTATATGGAAGTGTATGAATCTGCTTTGTCCTTATTTCCTCTGTAAGTTTATTATAAATTAATGAAAAGAAACTTTTGCTGTCACTAAATTCAATACTTTTGCTGTCACTAAATGTCACTAATTTTTCTGTTACTAAATCCAATACAGAAAACTCCTAATTTATGTGTATTTGACTTATCCATGTCTTTCATTTATGCAAATAAATATTAAAACCCAAGCAGAAAAATATACCCCAAGACATGTCATTTGCATATATATATATATATGAATGCTGCAGGTTTCTGTACAAGAAACACTATTTTAGTGTTCAACCAACAATATGAAGATTTAGCTATACATTAATGGATGGATTTCAGTTATGTGAATTTAACATGCATGAGGTTTCTCAGGAATGTAATGTAAAAGTAAATTGAGGGTTTACTATAGTATTCAATTTAAGTTCATTTTACGTTTGTGTTCTAATTTCCCATAACTAAGATCATTTCAAACATAATAGGGCCATTAGGCAAAAGAAGAATTGTTAGTTTACTTCCACGTATAGCTTCAATATTACTGTAACATTTTATTGAGAAAATATATTATGAATTGAAAAAGAGAAAATATACATCATTGTATAAAAAAGAGAAAAGTTTACATCATTGTATAAAAAAGAGAAAAGTTTACATCATTGTATACAAAAGAGAAAAGCATACATCAGTTTGTGCAAAGGAGAAAAGCATACATCAATGTGTGCAAAAGAGAAAAGCATACATCAGTGTGTGCAAAGGAGAAAAGCATACCTCAATGTGTGCAAAAGAGAAAAGCATACCTCAATGTGTGCAAAAGAGAAAAGTATTCATAATTGTATACATTTGTACAAATGTTCATACTTGTTTTGACAATTTCATACTTTGTACACTATTTGTTTTAAGTAAGATCTTCCTCATTGATTATCCTGTTTATTTAAAGAAAACTAATAACACATATCTTAGGTACTTTTTAAAACATTTATAAAATGTAGTGTAAACTGTTGCAAAATAATCTGTAGTTAGGGATGAATAATTATATTAATTACACATTAGCTGTTATTATGATCTCACATGCACTCCAAACTACTGTACTGTGAGGAGTTGAAAACTGCATTAGTGCCCCAGTGTAGATATGGGAGAGGTATGTTGCTGTTACATGTAATGAAAGATCATCTCTTTTATGAGTAAATTATCTGTATTTTGTGTCTTGTTTTATGAGTATATCTTTGTTTTTTGTTTTGTTTTATGAGTTTATCTTTGTTTTTGTCTTGTTTCTATCTTATTTATTTTGTCTTGCTTTATGCACATTGTTCATTGAGAAATGAGTATACCTGTACTTCACAATTTAAAAAGTCATGTGACAATTGTTGATACTCAGTTGACTTAAATAAATGATTCAAGAAGAATCCTGACTACCACTGGCCTTTTCATTTTCTTGTGAGTGGTTGGTGGTGGGGAGAAAAGGGATTTCTCCAAACCAGGATATCTTTTTGCTTCTTTTATCTCAAGAAAAATTTTTTTTCAGTAACATTTCTGTTCTACATTCCTTTGCCATATAACATTTTACTATGTTTGTATTAAGACAGTTTGGATAAACTGATCATGCTTTTGCTGGCCTTGAAAATAAAAACACATGGTGCTCTTTCCAAATCTTCACCATGTCCAAAAACAAAGGAGTAGCAGCTGTTTGAAGCATGAATGGCTGGTGAGTCAGGTTTCCAAGCAATGGCTGATGCTTGTTCTAATTGCACCATTTAGCTAACTTGAGTGAAAACCATATTTATCCCTCTATAAGTTTCCTAAATTATTTCTTTTTCTTGTTGTTTGTTCACATGACTTGAATTTTAATCAACCAAGATTTAGTAACCTGGAGCATAAAAGGTTTCTCTTATTGTTATTATACCTTGCCCCCTCCCAAAGTTTGTGGTGATGGGTGTACTGGAGTCAGCATATCTGTCTGTCTATGCCTGTCTGTCTGTCCAAAACATTTTGGTTTACTTGAATCTCCTAATCCCTTTGTGATATTTTCACGAAATTTGGCTTGCTTTTATAATCACAACTAGACAGTATATTGTAAGAGTTAAGTGCCCATTTCTTTTGACAGATTACCTGTCCATGCATCTGGTCTAGTTAATATCTTCAGAACCATTTCAAGCTAGTTTCCTGAAACTTGGTTTGCATTTGTACCATGACAAGAATGTGTCCCATGGTATCATGGGATCAGTTGTTTTTACATAGGTGAAATAAATATACCTTTTATCACACTTTAGTTTGCATGTCAGACACTGTTATAGGGAGCAATATTAGACTGTCAATCAGACAAGGATAGAACCATGTATCCCAGTGCACTTAAGAGAGATAACTCTGCTGGATCTGACTACAGTGGTAAATGTTCTCCAGTCACAGCAGATACATTTTCAGTGCACTGCATCACATTTGTAAAAACATTATAAAAAAAATGCAAAGCATGATCTAGATATGAATTAACAAGCTCACTCTTAGCTGAGAGATTTGATTTTTTTAAGCTTCATGTCTAATGCACCAATCACAGCTAGCCTTGTTCTTTATTTCTGAAGTCTATGTTCCTTAGCAAAATAAGCTCCACCCTAAATGTACAGTTGGTACCATTATACACATAGCCAATTTCTTTTCCCAATAATTTAGATTATTGCTGTAGACTTGATAAGTTACAAATACACAAGTATACACAAGTATGCACAAGTCTTGGGTAGTGAATTAAATTCAGGTGGTGATATGTTAGAGTTCTTTGGGGAGGATTTTGTGTAAATATTGGGGGTTTTAAGTAAATTTTGGAGGATTTTGAATAAATTTTAGGGATTATTTGAAAAAAAATATCAAGGAAAAAAGAAACATAACAAGTCAAAAAAAGTGAAAAACAGGAGGAGAGAATGCTTCTAAAAGGGAAATGCAGCTTATATTAAAGAAATAAAAGAGACAACAACAACATAGAGAAAATTGAGAAGAGAATGTATGAATATCTTACTTTAGATAAATATTTGGAGGTCACAGATGCCCTGTCAGATGGAGGCATTTCAAAAGGTACTGTACTACTATATCACTTATGAACACTGAAACTTCAGGTGAACCAGTGTGCATTCAAAATACCAGAAATACAGGTGTAACTAATCAAACAATATGCATGCATGTAATTTATGTTGGTCCTACAGCTGAAATCTAAACTAATTAGTTTAAAATATGTAGAAAAAATAACATAAACAAAAACACCAAAACCTCTATTGAATTTTAAACCTTTTTAAAATTTGCCTTCAGAAATAATTAAATTAGTTGTACTTTGTACTTACATTTTAAGAAAGATTTATGGCTAATATAATATTTAATGCCAAATCTTCTCATTTTTTACATATAAAAGCACTTAATATTTCTTGAAATATCACATATAATGCAAGGGAGAAAACTGAATGAAATATGTAAGGTTTTGTATTTTTATTTCTTGAAATGTCACATATAATGCAAGGGAGAAAACTGAATGAAATACATAAGGTTTAGTATTTTTATTTCCTCCACTTTATTATTCATGTAATTTAAATTAGTTAATGGAAATATGAAATTCAACTGTATGCAATTAAATTATCAAAAACAAATTATTGATAAAGTGAAAACCTAAAATTTAGGCTTCTTATTAAAGCAGGGACAAAGAGAGTTTAAAATGAGGCAGCTGTCATGTTTCCAATAGTTCATGTTCACCTTTACTCATTTTAAGCCTGACAATCTGACAGATACCAAATGTTTCTCATAAATCCATATAAAATATATAAAAGATGTCAAAATTAGGTTAACATGATGCTTGGTCTACAAAAGCTATTAAAGAAAAAATTTGTGACAGATGTGTCATTGACCTGAGCCACTGATGTCAGTTAGAGTTAAGAGGGTGCATTTAGTAGGGTGCATGGGGATATTAATAGAGTCAAGGGTTGCCTGTCATATGAATGGCAAATTCAAGTGTTGTTTATTATAATAAAGACATAGTCAAGTACTGCCTATTACAATAAAGACATAGTCAAGTACTGCCTTCACAATAAAGACATAGTCAAGGACTGCCTATCTTAATCAAGACATAGTTAAATACTGCCTTCACAATAAAGACATAGTCAAGTACTGCCTATCACCATAAAGACATAGTCAAGTACTGCCTATTACAATAAAGACATTAAGTGCTGTCTGTCATACTAAAAAGACATAGTCAAGGGATGCCTATCACAATAAAGACAGTCAAGGACTGCCTATCTTAATAAAGACAGTGAAGGACAGCCTATCATAATCAAGACATTATCAAGTGCTGTCTGTCAAATTAAAGACATAGTCAAGGACTGTCTATCATAATAAAGACATAATCATGGGCTACCTATCACAATAAAGACATAGTCAATGACTGCCTATCATAATCAAGACATTGTCAAGTACTATCTGTCATAATCAAGACAGGATCAATTGCTGTCTCATAATAAAGATATAGTCAAGTGCTGCCTATCATAATAAAGACATAGTCAAGGACTGCCTATCATAATCAAGACATTGTCAAGTGCTGCCTATCATAATAAAGACATAGTCAAGGACTGCCTATCATAATCAAGACATTGTCAAGTGCTGTCATAATTAAGACATTGTCAAGTCTTGTATGTTATAATAAAGACATAGTCAAGGGCTGCCTATCATAATAAAGACAGTCAATGCCTGCCTATCACAAAAAAGACCTAGTCAAAGACTGCTTATCATAATCAAGACATTGTCAAGTGCTGTCTGTCATAATAAAGACATAGTCAAGGACTGCCTATCATAGTGAAGACATTATCATGTGCTGTCTGTCATAAAGAAATAGTCAAGGACTGAATGTCATAATAAAGACATTGTCAAGTGCTGTCATAATAAAGACATAGTCAAGGACTGCCTATCATAATCAAGACATTGTCAATTGCTGTCATAATAAAGACATAGTCAAGGACTGCCTATCATAATGAAGACATTATCAAGTGCTGTCTGTCATAATAAAGACATAGTCAAGGACTGAATGTCATAATAAAGACATTGTCAAGTGCTGTCATAAAAAAGACATAGTCAAGGACTGCCTATCATAATCAAGACATTGGTCTGTCATAATAAAGACAGTGAAGGTTAGATTATCATATTATGAACTAATTTTACACAGGTTACAATTTTACAGACTTGTTCATAAATAAAATTGACAGAAAACAGTTTGAAGCTCTTCCATTTTTTTCTAGATTGTGCATATTTGTCAGAATAATTTTTCATAGGGGAAGGGTTAAATTTGTCAATAATTTTACATAGGGAAAGGGTTAAATTTGTCAATAATTTTACATAGGGAAAGGGTTAAATTTGTCAATAATTTTACATAGGGAAAGGGTTAAATTTGTCAATAATTTTACATAGGGAAAGGGTTAAATTTGTCAATAATTTTACATAGGGAAAGGGTTAAATTTGTCAATAATTTTACATAGGGTTTCCATTAAGAGATGCTTTAAAAGAAAAGAAGAGTCAATAAATAAATAAAGATTTCATTCTGGATTAAAACTCTGTCAGTTTATCTCATGAGTAGCTTCTTGAGTGGTTTCAGCTGCTGTATTTTGTAGCAATTTTATTTTATTCTTTCTATGTAAATGTTAGACATCTGTGAAACAAATGAAACATCAGTGTTCCCTCTATTTCTTGCTCACTTTCATACAAGTGCAAAGTTATGGGAAATTAAGAGTTTTCAAAGACTCAGGTTCATCTATAGTATCAGCATTTAGATGCATGATGGGGAATGAAAAGTGATCAGAGACTAAGGTTCACCAGTAGTATTGGCATTTACATGCATGATGGGAAATTAAGGTGGATAGAGACTTAGGTTCACCAGTAGTATTGGCATTTACATGAATGATGGGAAATTAAAGGTGATAGAGACTGAGGTTCACCAGTAGTATTGGCATTTACATGCATGATGGGAAATTAAGGGTGATGGAGACGGATGTTCACCAGTAGTATTGGCATTTACATGCATGATGGGAAATTAAGGGTGATAGAGACTGAGGTTCACCTGTAGTATTGGCATTTACATGAATGATGGGAAATTAAGGGTGATAGAGACTGAGGTTCACTAGTAGTTTTGGCATTTACATGCATGATGGGAAATTAGAGGTGATAGAGACTGAGGTTCACCAGTAGTATTGGGATTTACATGAATGATGGGAAATTAAGGGTGATAGAGACTGATGTTCACCAGTAGTATTAGCATTTACATGCATGATGGGAAATTAAGGTGGATAGAGACTTAGGTTCACCAGTAGTATTGGCATTTACATGAATGATGGGAAATTAAGGGTGATAGAGACTGAGATTCACCAGTAGTATTGGCATTTACATGCATGATGGGAAATTAAGGGTGATGGAGACGGATGTTCACCAGTAGTATTGGCATTTACATGCATGATGGGAAATTAAGGGTGATAGAGACTGAGGTTCACCTGTAGTATTGGCATTTACATGCATGATGGGAAATTAAGGGTGATAGAGACTGAGGTTCACTAGTAGTTTTGGCATTTACATGCATGATGGGAAATTAAAGTGGATAGAGACTGAGGTTCACCAGTAGTATTGGCATTTACATGCATGATGGGAAATTAAGGGTGATAGAGACTGAGGTTCACCTGTAGTATTGGCATTTACATGCATGATGGGAAATTAAGGGTGATAGAGACTGAGGTTCACTAGTAGTTTTGGCATTTACATGCATGATGGGAAATTAGAGGTGATAGAGACTGAGGTTCACCAGTAGTATTGGGATTTACATGAATGATGGGAAATTAAGGGTGATAGAGACTGATGTTCACCAGTAGTATTGGCATTTACATGCAGTATACACGAGCATTAAAATATGAAATGTTTTTTCCATTGTTTTATATGTTTTATTTTATTAAAAATTGGTACATAAAACTGTTTAGAAACAATAATTGTTGTGTTAATTTGCATGCAGTGAAGTACAGATAATAAAATAATGATTTCAGAAATTAATGTGCATGCAGATTGCATGTATATCTATGTTTTTGCAACTCCTGGTACATGATTTTGCCTGTATTTGTGTGTGTGTGTGTTTGTTGTATGTGTGTGGTGTGTGTGTGTGTGCTTTAGATTTTTAACATAGCATTAAAAAAATTTAGTAATATTGCTATGATTTTTGTAGCATTGGCAGTTTATTGTGATGTCTAGCACTGGGGCATCATGCCACAGACATGTAGCATCATGTCCCACCTAGTCACATTATCCTAACACCAGGCCAACCAGTCTAAACACTGACATCTTAATGCTGAGCACCAAGTGAGGCAGCTGTTAGTGCCATTTTTATGTCTTTGGTATGACTTGGCCAGGGTTTGAACCTGCAACCTGTATCCAAGGCAAATGCTCTAACCACTAGACCACCAGAGTGGTCTCTTATTTTGTTGTAAATTTTGTTAAAAATTGTAAATTGTGGTAATTGAATAATTTTTTTTTACAAGTATAGGTTTTGTTTTAATATATTAAGAGTGTAGATTGCATAGGATCTATAAATACTTGTTGATGTAAGTGTTTAGGACCATTAATAATAATATTGATTATAAAACCTATTTATGAGTTTGCGATCTCGCTCTTTCCCAACAACAGGTCAGTCAGGTAGGTTCAAAGAAGAAAAAAGTTATCTCCTATTGAATGGGTTAGGTCAGGTGAGTTCTTTTATCATGTGATAAATGTTAATGTCTACTTGCTAAATACTTGCTAAATGTCAAGTAGAAGTAATAGCAAAATAAATTTCCACCTCTGTTGCTTGTATTTGTGGAGCTGGATAATTTTAGTCTTATTTCTTATGTTCTAATTGTAACATCAGTAATCAGATGTATTTAATGTTGTTTTTATATATCATATGAGAGGAAACATTGGTTGAGAATATCCTTTGAAACTACATAGTGTTCATGGGACTAAAATATTATTCTGGGACTGTTGTGAATTATTCAGTAATATTGTCAGCAAAAGTTCTTATTTCTATATTTTGTTTACACATGCACTCTCTTTTATTTGCATTAATATTTAATTATATTAAAATGTTTATTCAGTCAACCAGAATTAATGTAAAGATTTTGGCATAATGTTTCTTAAGACATTTTAGAATTAGGATGCTGATTCGGATGAAGCCTTGGGGAATAAGAGGAATCTTACATACTTTGGGCATCTTCTATGTAAGCAGATTTACATGGATCATGCATGGAGGATGACACATGGCAATGGTGAATGCAATAAAAAAAAGACAAAGATGAATTGGGACATGACATTTTCTCAATGAACTGTATTTTACAGTGTAGTAAGTTTGACAAGAGAACTGTATGTACAGTGTAGTAAGGTTGAGAAAGTGACTGGAAACTCAGAAATCAAATGATTGCAAGTAAACTTTTGTTCTAAACTGACACAATCAGATCTTGTTTACAAGACCTAATGGAACAGAAACTTTCTACAAATATTCCCTTGTATGCTCATGTATAAGTCAGGTCCCACTCAGACAACATAGATCCTGATATGCTTATATGCTAGTCAGGTCCCACTCAGACAACATAGACCCTGATATCATGTACAAGTCAGGTCCCACTCAGACAACATAGACCCTGATATGCTCATGTGCTGGTCAGGTCCCACTTAGACAACATAGATCCTGATATGTTCATGTACAAGTCAGGTCCCACTTAGACAACATAGATCCTGATATGCTCATGTGCTAGTCAGGTCCCACTCAGACAACATAAACCTTGATATGCTCATGTGCTAGTCAGGTCCCACTCAGACAACATAGACCCTGATAATATCATGTACAAGTCAGGTCCCACTTAGACAACATAGATCTTGATATGCTCATGTGCTAGTCAGGTCCCACTCAGACAACATAGACCCTGATATGCTCATGTGCTAGTCAGGTCCCACTCAGACAACATAGACCCTGATATGCTCATGTGCAAGTCAGGTCCCACTCAGACAACAAAGACCCTGATATGCTCATGTACAAGTCAGGTCCAACTCAGACAACATAGACCCTGATAGACCTGTGCCTGTGTTGTTTATTATACTGATTAGTTTTAAGAAACTGCATAGACCCAGATTTTTTGGTGTATGTGACTTGTGACGGGTTGATTGTGGAGTGTTATGTTATGATTGGATTGGGGTGGGGTGCTCCCAGTATTTTATTTAAACTATTGTAAAAGTCCCACCCAGGCTGATTTTGGTTGGAAGTTGAATTAGTGAAAGACAGATGTACAGCTCCTTGCCTCCAGCCAGTAATACTGATGGTTAAATGATTAAAAATACAAAAAAAGAATAGGTGAAATTCAAGCAATAACATTTTAATAAAAATTCAGTTAGCAAATGATTTAATTTACTCCTTCCACTTGACCCTTTAATAGCCTATTGCATCACTTGATTAGTAGTGTGAGATGGATTTTCACCTGTCCTTATAGTCTACACAACTGTGTATTCTTCTCTGTCCTATTCCTCCAAATTCCTTCCCCTCCTTGACTTCTCTACACCACTCCTCCTCCTAGACTTCTCTATATTCCTTCTCCTCATCCTCTACTTTCTCCTTCAGACTACTTTTCCTCCTCCCATTCTATCCACCTTCTCTCCACCGACTAGACCTTTGTCAACTTGGACCAATCTGCTAGTCTTACTTCCATCTGCACCTCTTGAAGACCCACGACTCAACTAAACCAGAAGTTCTGTCCCCGCAAAAGCATACTTTCAAAGCTATTCTTTCCTTTGAATTTGTTCTAAGTTTTAGTTGCTTCTCAGAGTAACCTTATTTCTTAGCAATCTGTCTAGGTGTAACTATCCTTGCTTGTGAGGTACGAAGTTGTATTTCAGATCTAAATTGTGAAAACACCCTCTATCTCAATTTCGGTTGGATGTTGCTGTGAAATGATCCAATCAACTTAGCACAATGTTCTCTTGCTGTCTGTCCATGTGAGAATGGATGATAACATGCCCCATTCACCCTGTGGGTTCCTTTGATCTCTGAACAAACACTTAACACCAAAATGTGAATAATACCAGCCTTTGTCTAGTTGGTAAATCTATCCCATCAGGTCTAAAGGTAACCTTGGGTAAGGAATTAACCCTAGCTTGCAGCAATGTTTAGACATCAAACACAAGTGTCATAATAATACCATTTTTTTATACATGATTTGATAGCTGGGGCTGAGCAAATGTGACAACCCAGCAGATCTGGCTCAATGTAGTTCTTATGGTGCATTATGTGACAGCAGATCTGGGTCAGTGTACTTCTTATGGTGCATTATGTGACATCAGATCTGGGTCAGTGTAGTTCCTTTGGTGCATTATGTGACAGCAGATCTGGATCAGTGTACTTCTTATGGTGCATTATGTGACAGCAGATCTGGCTCAATGTAGTTTTTATGGTGCATTATGTGACAGCAGATCTGGGTCAATGTAGTTCCTTTGGTGCATTATGTGACAGCAGATCTGGGTCAGTGTACTTCTTATGGTGCATTATGTGACAGCAGATCTGGCTCAATGTAGTTTTTATGGTGCATTATGTGACAGCAGATCTGGGTCAGTGTAGTTCTTATGGTACATTATGTGACAGCAGATCTTGGTCAGTGTACTTCTTATGGTGCATTATGTGACAGCAGATCTGGGTCAGTGTAGTTCCTTTGGTGCATTATGTGACAGCAGATCTGGGTCAGTGTACTTCTTATGGTGCATTATGTGACAGCAGATCTGGCTCAATATAGTTCTTATGGTGCATTATGTGACAGCAGATCTGGGTCAGTGTAGTTCTTATGGTACATTATGTGACAGCAGATCTTGGTCAGTGTACTTCTTATGGTGCATTATGTGACAGCAGATCTGGGTCAGTGTACTTCTTATGGTACATTATGTGACAGCAGATCTTGGTCAGTGTACTTCTTATGGTGCATTATGTGACAGCAGATCTGGGTCAGTGTAGTTCCTTTGGTGCATTATGTGACAGCAGATCTGGGTCAGTGTACTTAAGGTGCATTATGTGACAGCAGATCTGGGTCAGTGTACTTATGATGCATTATGTGACAGCAGATCTGAGTCAGTGTAGTTCCTTTGGTGCAATATGTGACAGCAGATCTGGGTCAGTGTACTTCTTATGGTGCATTATGTGACAGCAGATCTGGGTCAGTGTACTTCTTATGGTGCATTATGTGACAGCAGATCTGGGTCAGTGTAGTTCTTATGGTGCATTATGTGACAGCAGATCTGGGTCAGTGTAATGATACGGTGTATTATGTGACAGGTGATCTTGGTAAATGTAGTTATTTGGAGTTGGATATAAGTTACTGAGAATATGTAGTATAGAAATTAATTTTAGCAAAGAAACTCTACAGTTGAAAGTCTTTAGAGAATATTTTTATTTTCCCCAAAATATTGATTTTACACTCTTGATAAAATTGGGCATAATCCAGAAATCATGATAGACAAACAAAATAAAGGTATGAATGAGGAACCTTTTTTTCTCTCCTTGAGCAAATTTTTCCATATTAAGGACCTTTAATTCTGTCTTAAGCAAAATTTTTCCATATTTCCTAAATTACAATTATTGTCCCATTGAAATGTCCCAAAGTTGTTCATTTGTTCCCATATTATATAAATGTTGCGAGAGATGTTAATGCAATGAAATAAAGGAAAATTCATATACTAGCTTAGATCATAGTAGTTCATGAAGTTATTTATGTGACAGTGCTGAGCAAATCTATTTCCATTTGTAAATACAGGAATAAATGTCATCAGATAATAATGAATTCTTTAAATTTTTCATGTGAAAAACTCTTCATCAGGGTCCATTATCTTCTAATTTTCCTGGAATAATAATTTCTTGTTATTATCTTTTTCTTTATGTCACACTCTTTGCTATGATCCATTATAACTGAACTCTATACTCTGGAAATTCCATTAAACCTTTAATTAGAGCAGAACTAAAATGCCATAATTGAGATGTGCCAATTGTTCTTTTTTTTCATTGGTAAGTGTAAGAATTTACTCTAGGGTATTAGCTGAAGCACAACTTATCACCCCTCCAAATTGAATGGTTTAATCCACTCCAGTTGCTGCTGCTGAGAGTGCATGTGTTAGTGTAGTAAAACAACATCCATTGTAAAATTACACTTTCATTGGAGCATGGACTATTATGGATTTAACACATACTCACTCATATAGAAAAAAAGGGAAGAACCTGCTGATTTGAGATTGGACTGTGTCTAGGTAAGATTTTCCTGTTAATATGCAATTTTTCTGTAAGCCCCATTATTAAAATGGTAAGGTATTCCATCAGCTGAAATGTCAATATTTTTATTGATTAATGATGCTAGATATATGTAGAACCATTGAGCTTTTTGTTCCCACCAATAACAGAGAGCAGCCAGTATA